ATATATATATATATATATATATTAATATTACTGTAAAATACCTGCCTAATCTAAAAAAATCTCTACACCATGCTTTCTGAGGCATTTCTTCAGTTTTTTTCTAAGCCTTCGGTTAGTGATAATAAGATCTTGATCAAATTTTATATTATCATACGCTTTAAATTAGTTTAATATATTTTAAAATGAATATAATGTATAGTCACTTTAATCAACGAAATATATTACTATATTTTTGTTTCTTTTTAATGGAAAAAGTATGATCATGCAAAGTACACCGGGGTGCTTGTAATGTACACCACTATGTATTTCACAGTGTACTCCATCGTGATTGGTTGCCCGACGATTATTTGTTGATAATATTTTCTTCTTTTAGTGGCCCATAAACATCTATTAATCAATGCACCCATGAACAACTTTGATATACACGAACGGTTCGCTTGGAATAAGGCTCTCTAACTTATTGGTACTTGTAGTAGCTAGAGCAGCAAATGAGTCGAACTTGAGCAGGCTCGGGCACGACTCTTTTTCAGCTCGTTTGAAAATATTCATATTCGAGATTGGCTTGTGAGCAAGTTGTTTTTGCTTGGTTAGAGTTATGGCCCATGTTCGACTCGAAATTGGCTCGTTAAAATTAGAAAACTTTTTAAAATTTAAGATTTTTGAAGTAAAACAAAAAACTTATATAGATTGAATAAAAATAAATTTATTGCTTTAATGATTTTTTATAACCCCCAACACATTTATAGAACACTTATATTTTCAATTTTCAATAACCCCCAACACAATTATACAACACATACGTTTTTTTCAATTTTCAATAACCCACAACACAATTATACAACACTTTCATTTTCAAACTAGATAAAAATGTCTTCTTATTCATAGACTTGAGTTTAAACCTGGAAGTACAATTCAATAGTTATACTGTGCAAGCATTGTCCAAACTAAAATGAAAGCATTCAACATTTCAACAAGTTTTTCTTAAGCCACACTTCCACATAGAACTTCTTAGATGAATCAAAACTCAAAAGCATTAAACCTACAATGAAAATCAAAAATTGAAAATGCAAATTAACTGCATAGACTATGTTTCTTGACTTACTGTAAATAAAACCATTGACAAACTAGAGATGAAAGATCTATACTAATGTGACATCGATATAGTTATTCCTCATTCTTTTTCTATGAGTTCCCACATTATTATTTACAACTAAGGACAGTTTTTCTTGGCCTATTCTAGGTCATAAGAAGTATTGAAAACCTTATAACAATTAAGGGGATGACCATAAAAAATTTCCCAGGGATCCTCTCATCCTCCATCTAGGTTGCACTCTCCTACTAGTTATATGTCTATCCCACTTTGTGAATCTGTGTTAAGCTACTTATTCTTATATTCAATGGTTAGAAGTCCTATATCACAAGAGATTTTAATTTTCTAATTAGTCAAATTAAAAACAAACTACGATCAAAAGATTAACACATCAATATATGAAAGTTATGGCACAAAAAAGCACTAAAAAATACATAAGCAGAAAACATCCAAAAAATCTCATGCCTTTACACACAATCACATGGCAAGAGTAACACTAATTTGCATATAATCCAATTCAAGGGAGAGAAAAGCTTAAGGCATGCTCATTATAGATGAAAAATTATAAATTTCATTGCAAAAATCAGAATAAACAAAGTTAGAATGATCTCACTAATGTTCATCATCAAATTACATGGAGTTACAACACAATTTCAGAATTTCTACCTATTTTGAGCACAATAATTGCACTCATCACTTATTCTCTATTGGGAGAACTATCACATACTCTCTCGCTCTTCCAAGGATTCCTCTGATTAAGCATGATTGAAGGCTGTAATAATTCTCTGGTGATTCCTTCTAGTTTGCATCTTTTTCATCTTAGTGTCGCTCTCTAGGTCGAGCAATGAAGTTTTTTTTGGAAAAGCCCTCTTTACTTTGTCTTTACTTATTCTGTAGTAAAGGAATGTCACACAATCCCACCACATCAACTAAAGCCATAATAACTCTCATAGTTGGTTCAGGGGCACCAAAATTCTTTCATGAAGCACATGAGTCTTGCTCTCTTCGTTTTTGAAGCAATTTTCTTCTGTAGGTAGCTCCTTGGTGTCATTAGAAATGATGCTTTTATTCTGGTGTGGTGCCTTGGTGCCACTATAAGTGGACCAAGGTTTAACCCTCTTTAATTTGAATGCCTAAGAGAGGGAGACAAAAATTATAACTATGGTGTACCTACACCAATATTGACATTGGTAAGCCAACAATGGTGTACATATGGCATTAAAATAGTGTGGTTATGCTTGACTTGATTTTGGGGCATCCAAATGTTGTTGATCTCCTTTTAAGCTCTGTAGCATGCTAATAATATAAAAACACATTGAAAAGCCTGTATATAATACAAATAATGAAAATACTACAAGTAAAGCTAGAAAAATACAAAGCAAATTTAAAACACATCAGATTTCCCCAACCACACACATTACTTGCCCTAAAATAATTTTAAAATATAAAA